TTCTCTTCAGTCATCAGTATATGTTGTTTTTTCATGAAGTTGTACGTACGCATATCGTGTTAAAATTTAAAATATAGACCTCTAACATCTTTCATGGATTTTAATTACGTTGAAGGCGGAATTCTTTGATAGTTTGATTTTTTATAAAAAAAATTTATCTTAGTAAAGTTATAGTTGAAGTTACTGGTCAAGTGACTCGTTATCTTTAATCATTTTTTCTAGACATTTATTTTATTTTTGTTTTTAGCTTGCTTTTTCCTTATTGAGTTTGCTTTCTGATCTCGGGTTAATTGCTGCAGTTCATATTGATAATAATTTGTAATTGTTTCTTTTGATTATGTGGGCGACAACAGTGCATGGTTACAGCTGCAGCGGCATATAGTATAAATTTAGTTAATAATAAAAGTTAGTATAAATTGAGTAGATATTAAAGACTATACCCTTCTTAATCAACCATACTCTTACATCATAGTTTTTATTACGCCATAATTCTTTGAAATCATATCTCATAAGTCATATTTTCATAATAAGCATGATTTAGTTTATTGGTAATATATACCAATAAATGTTCACAAATGTAAGAGTTGTCTAGCTGGGGCTGTAAACAAATCGAGTCAAGTTCTAGCCATACTATACTCAAGCCTGACTCGTGAGATGTATTGTTGGTTGAGCTTGAGCTTATAAGTTGAGCTTGAACTTGACTCGTGCTAGCTTTGCTCGGCTCGAGCTTTTGCTCAAAAGCTTGAGCTTGACTTTAAAGCTCGAGCATGGATTGATTTTGAGCTAGGTCTTGAAGTTTTTTATAAAAGTATATTAAAACACATTTTTGGAGTTGTTGAAAATTTGTAGCTATTTATAGCCTCGTAAATTTTTTGTTGCATATATTCAAGTTTCTTTAGCAAAAATAAATTCAAATTCAATACAATGTTATCATATTATTACAGAATTGTATCTGCCATTAACCACTCATTAAATTAATTTGCCACAAATATTAAAGTAAATGTGCATAAATTAAAATTAGTCTAACATAATCAACTATCCTATACACGTTAAGCAGTTTATGATAATTGCTCAAATAAGGATCTGATCTAACCATTAGCCCAATACAAGAAGAAGTTATCACTAAAATATGAAGCTCAACTACAACAACAACGACAAGCCTCTATCCGACTAAGTGGGGTCGGCTACATAAATCTTTTTTCTCCATCTTGTCCTACTGACTGACATATTTTTATTTAATTTTAATAAATTAAGACTATTTTGTATACAACATGCCCAAGTCTTTTGCGGTCAACCCCTACCTTTCTTAATATAAGTCGAATCTAAAGCATCTACTCTCCTAATCGAATCATCAGATAGACTACATTTAATGTGACAAAACCATCTATGACGACTATCTCTAATTTGTCCGCCACTGGAGCTACACCAATCTTTTCACAAATATATTCATTTCACATTTTGTCTCTAAGAGTCAAGCCACTCATCCACCCAAACATTCTCATCTCAACCATTAAAATATGAAACTCCTCAAATAAAAATCCAAATTGATCATTAGTCCAACAAAAGAAACTATCTTTAGAACATTTCTTCGAGATCTCAAGTTTTCTTACAAAACACACAATATTTTATATTATGAAACCAAATAAATTCTACTACATCTATTAAATTCCATGTCTCCATAATCTTTGTTACTTTTTTTGGAGCTAAGCAATGAATGTAGCATACACTCACAATATTCATCATCAATTTTCTTTTATTTTTGTCAAAGAGAAACGCAAGGGTTAGTCAATTATAAATATAACATGAAACTTTATGTAAGTTTGTCAGCTGAGAAAGAAAGTGACTGAGGTGGGTGATTAAAATTTAGTTTAAATCATTGACTTGACAATACTTCTAGCTTACAGGTAATGGTATCTGCACATCTTCATTGTTCTCTTCTTTCCAAAAATACAGACCAAATTATATTATTATTTTTTATCAGTTGAGAAGCATGAAGTTAAATAAAAAAGTATTTCAATTTTAACTCGTTGAAATAGTATTAGCTTCTTCATTGAAAAAAACTAAAAAGTCACACTCTTTTTTCAATATTATTCCATTCTTTCTCAGTAGAACAATTACTATATGAGAGCGAAGTTTCCCTTAATTGAAAACTGGAAGTCAAACTGGTGTCCATAGATTTCCAATGTGTTGGCAGTCCATGATAAGTTTCCTAGTTGGTAACATCAATTATTGAATAACATTAGCAAATCTCATCAATTTTGCTTATGAATCATTTAAAAAATTAGTAATCTTTCAAATAATCAAATTTTATCAACTACATAGTCTATACTTCTGATTCAATCTTTTATCATTAAATTTTGTATGTGGGCACAACAATGGATATTAAATAGTTTGTCATTCAATAATTTTATAGCTCGATCATTATTTATGACATTGTCCACACGTAGTGAACACTTTATGTCAAGTTGTTACTCGCTAAAAATTTGTAGAATGTTTCAATAATTTTAGATGTAGTATGTGCAGGTAGCAAATGCAAAAAGCTAAGAATATGTTTTTGTATTCTCCGCTTCAAGTCCACATAATATGCAGTAACAACTATACAATAATTTATTTGGTTCTTTGATTTCCACATATATATAGTAAAATTAATTCCATGTATTTTTCTTGATGCAGTTTTCAGCTTTCTTTCTTCTTTCTCATGCACCAATATAACATCATATCGATTTGTATTCCTTAAATAGTTTACAAAATAAGATGCATTCACTTCAAAACTAAATTAAACACAAATTCTTCCAAAATTGAAAATGGGTTTTCATTAATCAAAATATAATATTTGAAGGTTGTCAAATTGCATCCCTCTTATTTTATCTATTGAACTCTCAATATCTTTTTATTTGAAAATACAGTACTTTCTGCTTTCTTAAAGCATAAACCCCAACTGCACAGCAATCCAAATGCCTAATAAATCGTGTTGTTGCACTCTTATTTCTTATAACAAGTTTTTTTTGTTTGTTTTAATTTTTTGGTGCAATGAAAACCTTTTTCCTTGTCATTAGGAAGAGTGATTTCTTTTAAATCTTCCTATACCATTGACATTTTTTTTGTTTTTTGTTTTTGCTTCAGTTAGATTTTCATTTTCAATGTATTCGTATACTTGATCAACATTATCATTCTTACCTTCTCCCCCCTCTGTATTATCATTCTCATTGAGAACATTTTTATCATAATATTAGTATAATTGTTATGTTGCATTACGTCAACAGGATTTTCAATTTCTACGTTCTGAGGCTCACTAATACTTTTTAAAAAGATGGTGTTAAAATACTAAAGACAAGAAGAAAACTGAATAAGCTGGTGCAATTGTGTACAACATCCTAATTTTCAAATTCAATGTAACATTTAATCAATATTAAAGAAGCGGACCTTCACATTTTTTAATTTTTCAGATTTTCTTTGATTCAGCCAAAAAATTAGGTGATAAATCTGTCCTGCATAATTAGGAAAAAAAAACATGGTATTTGAGACGCATACATGATAGCTGCTTGTATTAATTGCAATGCATAGAAGGAAATAAAAATAACATGTAGAAGGAGGTAAGCACATGGATAAGTGATGAACAATTTCTAATGCTTGTGTGCACCGAGCTAATCCTGCCAGTTAGAAAATTAAGTTAACTAAAATTACATACAATTCCAGTTATTGATAAAAAGATATTAATTAAAACATAAATCTAATTTTTCAATCATGGAATATGTGTTATATATTCCCGAGAGATTTGAAATAAGTTAAGAGTAGGAGTAAATATATGGTTTGATGGACATAAAATGATACCTACTGTAGTTTGCTTTATTAATTTGGAGTTTTTTCAAACACCTCATTTGATTAGATAAGCATGATAGCTTGCTTTTTGCAATATGGACCTGATTAATACAAAATAGTCACCCATACGTGTTAAATTAGTTAATCTGTTGGATTAAATTTGTATGGATTAAAAAGTTTTAGATTCGACTTACATTAAGAAAGGCATTGGTAGACCTAGAAAGTCTTGGGCATAATATTGTATAAAAAATGATCTTAATTTATTTAGAATTAAATAAAAATATGGAAATATGGCACTCAATAGGACGCAACGGAGAAAAAGGATTCATGTAGCCGACCCTACTTAGTGGGATAAGAGCTTGTTGTTGTTTGATTAAAAAGTTAATAAAAATCATGCAAGCAAATAATTAATTCTAAAAACAAGCATAATCTTAGTCCAGAATAAAGATTAATACAATTAAATGCAATGATAACATCTTATTTTAATTAGAGAGTATCTCTATTTGTAATCCTCAATTGCTCAAATATGAAGTATGTCCCCGTATATAAACACCATATCTATGCAGGTCTTAGAGTAAATCTTATTTAGATATGGGCAAGTTGCTATACTTAAGATTTAAATATGAAAAATAGAAAAATTCAAATAAATAAATAAATAAATAAATAAAAAGAAAAGGTTGCTTCATACCCAAAGCATTCGTTCCTCCAATTTTGAACTAAGCAAAAGGGGTACCAAATATAAGTCTTACCGGGACTCATTGAAAAGATTTTCAAATCAGTACAAACCAAGAAACTTAAAATCAAAATCTTTATGCTTGTAAGGATACAGTGCATGACTCTAACTAGATGGCTAGCCTACTTATAAAATGTCATTATATATTATGGCAACGGCCAAAGCCAAATCTGCTTCATAATATATAATAGCAATGGCCTAACTCCTAAACCTTACTTTTTACATTTATACCATGAAAATCTTTATTATCACATAAAAGATACCACTATTTTAACTTTTAAAATGCAATATACACCTTGTCATATATAGGCAAGGTGGCATTTATGTAAAAAGTGAAGTTTAGGTGTTTGATATGTAAATACATGAGAATTGGGTGGTATGTGTGTCGCTCTAGTTTTCGTCCTTGTTGTCACTTCAATGGAATTACAAATTGGTTTTCTTTCTGCAGCTCCCACCTTTGGCCAGACAAGAGGTGTCAAGTTCTGGCTGCAAAAAGCTTCAAACAAATCCTTAAATTGCGCGAGCTGAAATATAAGGTTTGGACAATAGCGAGGTTTTACATTGAGTAGTCTCTTCTTGCGGACTCTGCTACTTTAAAATGTTTATATCAGATTTGTCGAAATGAATTTAGCATAATCTTGACTTAGTTAACTTGTATTTTGATTGCCTTATATGATTTGCTAAAATAGCTGTAAATGATAGGCAATATTTTAAGGTTGACTGAACTGCTTTGGACTATGTATGTTATGGGGTCATTATTTTTCTAATTTTGTTGTGGAGTGTGTAGTAAGTAGGTTGGGCCATGATCTCTTTTGATTGTTAACAAATTGCTAAGTTTAGGCGATATATTTATACATATTTAATTGAGGTTGTTAAGGGTTTTCTGACACGAACTAACTTATCTCTAGTCACCCGAGCGGCTTTAGCGCTCTTTCTTGGCGCTAAATCAGTCTATCTCTCACAACACTTGAAATTGTAGGCACAAAACACTCTAAGAAGAAGAATAGGGAGAAGTATTGGAAAAAGGAACACTTTATTAAGAAAGAAAGATTATAACACTTGAATGCTTGGAAGCTTGGAAGGTTTTCTTTGATGGATACAAATGAGGGGATGAACTCCTATTTATAATCCCCTCCAAGTCTAAGGGAATATTCTAGAATAGCCTAGTTTCTAGAGTGTTCTTCACTATTCATATATACATATATAGCCCTAGAACTTTCTAGGTTATTCTTGAGTTCTCCTTGGAGTCTTTCTCTCTCATATTCTCTAGAATTTGGTTAAATCTTCTAGAATATCTTAAATTGCTCTCTACAATCTGGTTTTCTCTGTAATCTTCTATCCCATGCTTGTCTTGCTAGTTCTAGAGAATGGTTGAGCGTGACACTCTCCCCCATGTAAGCTCGCAATGCTCTCATTGCACCTTCCCCTTGTCTCTCCCCCATGTTTGCTCACAGATTTGGCAAACTTGGGTTTTTCCTTGGTGGTATGGGGGAGGGGTGCTATGCAGAGACACTTCATGGTTGGCAACTCAGTCATTGGCTCTAGTCTAATCACATGATTCTTTTCCCTCCTTGGCAGTTGTTTTTTTGGTAATTCTATAAGAACACCCACTACTTCCATTTGTATGCCTTCTTGGGGCTTTGCTTCTTCATCGGTCCCCTTGTCATTTGGAATGCCTTTCTTGAATTGCATGGCCGATAGCATTTTGAGTTCCTGCCTATTAGTCCTTGTTATTGGTACTAAGCACGGTTGATTCCCTTCCATGATGTACACGTTATTGGCGAAGGGCATTGGGAACGCTCTTGCTTGATCCAAGAAGTTCATTCCTAAAACAACTTTAAAATCATTCATGGAAATGACAGAGAAGTCCAGGGTACCTACCTATCCACGCCTCAATGCTGGTCTTTACTCATCTGGCAATTCCATGGAGTGGTATTTCTGCTGAATTGACCACCTTGATGGTGCCTCCTCCTCTAATCATCTACAAACCCAATCTCTTTGCTTCCTTGGAGTAGATGAAGTTATGGGAATCACCCGTGTCTACCATTTCTCTAGTGGTCTTCTCGCCTATTATCATCTCCACAAAGAGTAACCCCTTCGTCTCTGTCGAAAACAAAAGGGAAGCCTAAAAATGACAAAACTAAACCACCCAATTAGTGCTTTCTTTGTGATGGACCACATTGGGCAAGAGATTGTCCTCAGAAGAGGGCTCTAAATTCTCTCCTTGCAAGACATCCGAATGAAGAAAGTGGTGATACGGCGGCACAACTAGGGGCTATACAACTATTGAATGGGATGAAAGCTCCATCAAAACCCCAAGTAAAGGGGTTTCTTTTTGTGGAGATGGTAATAGGAAAGAGTATTACCATAGAATTATGGAATTTTAGGATTAAATTGCATTCTCATAGACTTTTTGGCTAAAATGAACCCCAAAAAAGGTCTAGATTATTTTGACAATTCCCATTGAATAATGGAGGTGTTTTTAGGGGAGAGGAGAGGCTACAGTTTCCTACAGGAAAGATTTTGTAGCCAAGGGCAGAATCAGGTTATGTCTAGAGCGGGCAAATTATTACCATGAAATTTGAGATTTTCTGTATGTGTAGTAAAATTTAATTTAATTATTTTTTGAATGTACTTTAGATGATCTAGTAATTTTGCTCTCTCTCAATATATATATTTTTGCCCATTATTTTGAAAATTTTAAATATTTTGTGATTTTGCCCACTTAAAAATAAATTTTATTCTTCCCCTATTTATGGCTAATCTAAATAGATCTTTTCTTTCATGTTTTTCGATTGTTTTGCTCATTTTTGCATTATGAGATTTAGCTAATTGAGCTGTTTATACTAGAGGCACAATGGCAGTGTATGCATTGCAACATTCAATGTGAACTGAATAAGTTCTTAGAACATAAGGCCACGAACGAAATGAACACTGCAAGCTCCATGCAACGCTTTCGTATCTTATTTTTTATTTATTTACTTTTCAGTACCATTCCTTTACATACTAGTGATCTTAATCTCACATTTATCATGCATCTCAAATTTTAAATATATAAAAAATAAAAAAAGTACCTATAAATAGTTTAAAATCAAATATATACATTATTGATTAAACTTCGCAATAATAAATATTTTTAATGGAATATATATATATATACATAAAATTTTGTAAATTATCTACATTTTTTATAATATATCAGAACAAGTTATATGATATTGATTTTGAAGATAATATAAGACAATTGATGCAAGCACACAAATTAAAATAAAGAAAAAAGCATTTAAATATTCACCACACATTTCTCATCTATTTACCTAACTCCTACATTGATATTTACATGCATGCCACTCGATCTTTAATATTAAGTTAAAAATATTACCATTAAATTTTTAAAAAGTAAATCATGCATAGATTTATGACACCAAGGCGTGATAAATGTCAATACCAAAGAATTGTGGCAAGTAAGTAAATTTCTCAAATAAAAATAAAAATAATAATAAACACCTTAAAACTGGAAACATATATATATATATATATGTTTCCAGTTTTAAGGTGTTTATTATTATTTTTATTTTTATTTGAGAAATTTACTTACTTGCCACAATTCTTTGGTATTGACATTTATCACGCCTTGGTGTCATAAATCTATGCATGATTTACTTTTTAAAAATTTAATGGTAATATTTTTAACTTAATATTAAAGATCGAGTGGCATGCATGTAAATATCAATGTAGGAGTTAGGTAAATAGATGAGAAATGTGTGGTGAATATTTAAATGCTTTTTTCTTTATTTTAATTTGTGTGCTTGCATCAATTGTCTTATATTATCTTCAAAATCAATATCATATAACTTGTTCTGATATATTATAAAAAATGTAGATAATTTACAAAATTTTATGTATATATATATATATTCCATTAAAAATATTTATTATTGCGAAGTTTAATCAATAATGTATATATTTGATTTTAAACTATTTATAGGTACTTTTTTTATTTTTTATATATTTAAAATTTGAGATGCATGATAAATGTGAGATTAAGATCACTAGTATGTAAAGGAATGGTACTGAAAAGTAAATAAATAAAAAATAAGATACGAAAGCGTTGCATGGAGCTTGCAGTGTTCATTTCGTTCGTGGCCTTATGTTCTAAGAACTTATTCAGTTCACATTGAATGTTGCAATGCACGTTTGATTATTTTTTTCAGATTTCAATGCCAATTTCTGGTCATTTGCATGGATACTGCCACAATCTTTTGTATCACATCAAAATTATCGTCATTTTAATTTTAAAAATGTAAAATACATTTTTTTCATGCATATATAAGATGACATGTATGCAAGAATTGAAGCTTAGATGTTATATATGTAAATAAATCAAAATTGAGTATTATGTATGTAAATCTTCCTATTTTTTATTAAACTTTTAAGATTTTAAGAAATCCATTTGAGTGTTGAGTGTTTTTTTTTTTTTCTTTTTTAGATAAGTGTGAGTCCAATACGTGTGATTCAAACCCACGACCTAATTGTAGGAAATTATACCTTAAACTATTAAATCGTAGATAAGTGCACTATCGTTTTATGACAGTTTTCTTTTCAGGCATCTTGGGCTTCAAAAGTTATTAAGGGGTTGCATTACTGATTCGTTCTTACTCACTGAAAGTAATATTTTTCGAGTTCTATACTATTCAGATACTTTCAATAGCAATCTTTTTAAAAGATTCTGCTTGCTATGTGTACAACTGCTTATCATCTTCTGTTTGAATGGAACTATAAGATTTTCATGAATATTTCTACTTCTTCTAAGCTTATCATTAAGACTATTCATTGGGCTATTAAACTGAAACCTAGGAAATGAAAATGAAGATGAGATTACTCATCTCATCAAGGAGTTACATGTAAATTGCAGTGCAGTTATGATGCTTTGGAGCATACTGGTTTTCTACACTTAGTTTAGGATTTTTGGAGCAAGTTAATTTATGCATTTATTTACTTCGAATTTTTGGCAAGCTTTGGCGATGCACATCATCCTAAGAGACTCAACCACTCATCTAGACATTTTGGTTATTTCTCTATTGCGTTGCCTTAATCTAGTTTTCATGAGCTGATTTCCTTTCATTCCTGCAGTATTTTTGGCTGGTTTTGATCTACTGCTAAGAACATATTCTTTTGCTGAGCGGATACTCACTTGTATTCTTATGCTGTTTTGCTCTTGGACGACTTCTGATTTATCGAGTTTTTTAGAGGTGTCAATCTCTTCTTTTCTTGGTCCCTGGTTGGAACCTTAGCAACTAAGATGCTAAAAAATGTTTGGGGAAACTTTCATGGTGTCCAAATGTTTCTGGATGGAGCTTTTTATGTGGATTTCTAAATGCTAATTGTTCTTTATAAGATAAGACTTATTTGAAATCTTAAAAAGATTTTGAAAAGTAATATTTTTAGGAGCTTGGATCATAAAAATTTTCAAAGATGCTAGTATGAAAACACTAATGGAGTTGAGTTCTATGTCATAATGAATAATATTTATATATCTCAATTAGATATTTAGAAACCATTTGGAAAAAAATGATTATATTATATATTAAAATCATACTATAAATTATACATCAATGAGAAGAAACTAGCATAACTAGGCATCCCTAACATGTCATTCATAATGGGAACAATTTTCTGTCCGGACTCCCCTAACGTAGCTCTATGTGTGAACTTCCATTAATATATCGGCATGTGTG